ACATGAATATTTATAAACAAAGGCTAGCTTTTACTCGAAAGCTAGTATTTTCCTTTATTAATAAAATACGGGGCGTTACAATCCACCCCCTTAAAATATTTCCGTCCTCGGAAATACTAAAACTGAAAGTACAAGCTTAACTCGAAGCTTATATTTACTGATGACATAACTTTAGAATTCAGTATTTTAATACTGAACCATAGACTTGATCTTAACTGGAGAATCATTAGTTCACAATTAAGTGAATTATTGATTAATACTGGCTGAACATGGGCACTTTTCTAAAGAAAAGTGTCTCATTGATTAAATTAAAGGCATAACTCTTAAGCGCACTGGCCATCGCCTCTTCGCTGATTGTTGATCCTCAGTCTGGATGTTAAGTGTGAAACCAAAGTCGTTGGTACACAAGGAAGACTTTAGAGATATGCATAGGTACAATTCAGGACAACTAGCAATCTCGGTAACTACCTGTCATGAACATTTACCTGATGACGCGGCACATCTGTCGCGGCACTTTGCAATGCGGCATACCTGCTCCTCATCTAGTGAGTGCGGCACGCCTGCACGCAGCACCTGGCGAAAAAAGCACATGCGTCGTCGACGTAGTCTGTATAACTGATCATATTTGTATCTCAAGCTAGTAACCTCAATGTACTATAATGCTAACTCTCCGTGATCTTTTGGTGTACTGTGACTCAGGCACGACATCCTTCTTTTTTTGCCACGAGTGTCCTGGTATGGAAAGCTTTGGTTGGTCGCCACGGTGTTATATGTTGTTGATTGGTCCTCCTCATGTTGTATTGTATGATGTACCTGCAACTGTCTACCTTTCCTGAGGCCAAATTTAACCTCAAGAAAGTCTATCATGAACTAATCTTCCCTACGATTTCTCAAATTTTCTGAATTTGAGAATCAAAGCACTGGATATACTGATAAGTCTTGTCTTATTAGACAGACCATCCTCAATTTTAACATGACTAGCCTCAACATTCACATAACTGGATAACCCTGACTTGACTTTTACATGACTTTATAACTCTTATTTGAGCTTTGGAAGCTATCCTGAGACAATTAATTGGTCATTTCAGAATTTGGAATACGACATTTACTGACTTACTGTGGCTTGATAAGGTCCGACTTCAAGTTTTCAGGTAAATTTGGACTAATGATCTGTATATCAGACCTCCAATTTAACCCGGCTTAACAACTATTATACGTCGACCTTAACTCATGAACATTGACCTTAAATCATGAATATTGACTCATGGCTATGTACTGTATAGGGCTGCCCCAGTATCACCTGGTCCCGCAAGTACAAAGTAAATAACTGATTTTGAGCTTTAAAAACCATAACTTGGAATATCACATTGATAACATACCTGACATAACTGACTTTAAAGGTTGTTATTACATAAAATTACAATGTTCCTGTCCCATCTTCAAGCCTCCACGGTTTACCCGGCTGAGTGGCTCTTATTTCAAGCCTCCATGGTAACTCGGAATATTGACTCATACACTGAAAACCGTTATCTTGGACAATGGTCTAGGAAATATAACAACCTTTAGCATTAAAATTTAACCTTGAACTTGATTTACTGACTTGACTTAAGAAATTTGAGTCTATTCCCTGGTCTCAGTCAAGGAATTCTTCCCTGTAATGTGCCAACTGGTTGGCAAAATTGGACAATTTTGATAGAAAAATATCTGAGGAACATGATTGCTAAGATTTGTATAACACAAGTGCTTACAAATCTCCTGACGAGTTGCTTAACATGGCTGGAAAATACTGATATTAATCATGGATATACTGAACTATGATTCTTGAACATGATTCCAGCATCTTAACTAAATCATAAATGTGGTCTTTCTGTGCATAGACATAGTAATTTGTAAAATAATTTAAAACATGAATCAGCACTTACCTGTAGTCGGTGAGGCGTGAACGTGACGTGTTCAGGTTTCATAAAATTTTCTGACTCGTAAAAGTATTCAGAGACGCAAAAACATGCTCTGATACCATCTATAACACCCCGCTATGTCATAAATATCAGAGTTAAATTTTCGCAAAACCGTTTAATAAAAATAACTGATT